GCATGTTGCTGCAGAAATAAAAGGTAGCAAGTTTGTATTAGATGAGCCTTACAGGATGGTCATATGTGATGCCATTTAGGTCACTGCCATGTGTGATCACAAGACACCAAAAACTTAAAGGGATACAGGCTGATTTTAAAAAGTCAGTCATTCCATTTTATTCTATGACACTGCAAAGTAATTGTGCCCAGAATGACTGTATTTACTCCCTAAATACATTTTTAGTATTTCATTATCCAGGTGGATTCAATTGTGTTTGCAATTTTGTAGACATTAAAGAGGGAGGCTAAATGACAGAGGCAGGGCAAAGAGAATAATACTGCACTCAGTTCCTTCAGTACAGCATGATACACGGTCTAGAGCACCTCACTAATGCTTAGGAGCCTCAAAGTCTAGTCCTGTTTTGACCACTGACTGACAAATATTTTGATAGCTAGGCATGGAAAATACAATGCAAGTGCTCTTTGTATCTTTTACAAAAATAATACTGGCTAAGATCTTGGACCAGTGCAAGCAGACAAAGAGTAAATTCACTGAGTCCAGCAGAAGCAAATCTGGAAATCTGGTCAGCTTTTAAGAATGCAAATTTCTTTCTTATGCATCTTATCCAAAAGCAACATGTGCAGCAGCACTGATATAAGCAACACTTAAGCCACTATAAAATACATCTTTAAAAATGTTATTTAAATCCAAAAATGTGATTCTGATAAGCTAAATCATTCTTGGAAGTTATGTATTTTATGCCAATATGTGTTCTTACTGAACCATAGCTCTAGCTGATATTCAAAAATGACTTCACTGTTCACAGAAGCTTCAGAAAGAAATAATAGACAAGGCACACTAAACATTGTCGGGCCAAACACATTCTACTGTTTATTACACATATTACATTCTTAAATAAAAATGCGTCACATAACATTTTTGCATAGATATCTTACAATATACCAATTTAAAAAAGAATTATGAAACAGACCAGTAACAAAAATAAATTTTTTCTTCATTAATAATTTTGTAACATTAACATACCACCATCATATAATACAAATAATATTTTTAAATCTTAAGACTTTTGTACAGCAAAAAAACTGACAAAGTAATATATATATATATATATATATATAAAAAGCCTAAAAAAAATAAAATGTCAAAAAAAGGCAGAACTGAGGGCTACAAGATTGGGTACTTCTGTGATATATTAGAAATACCAGAGTTGGCCTGAGAGAACGTGACCGAGGGCATCTCCAAAATGCACTTGTCAGACACATCTGGTAAAAGAAAAATATAGTGCAAAATGAAAGTCCTTCAAGCAATATATATATATATTTATTTATTTTTAAATCAGGAGCATTCATACTTTTTATTGTTGTTGCTAAAAAAAATCCCCCAAACAAAAATCTAACGTGAAGTAGAGAGAAAAAGGTTTTAAAGGATAAGTAAGAAAACAGGCCATTTTGCAAAGCAATAAAAAAATTCATAGCCTGCATTATTATTTTTCCAATTCAGATGAGCAGACATGCTAAACTAAGGCCTTGTTTCTAAGAGAAAAGCTGTCATGGTTTATATGCAGCAACTACAAAACCAAACACTTAAATTGGTGCAAGAACCTTCTTCTATCTTAACTGGTTTAACCCTTTCTTACGCTTTAGCTTAACTGCATAAGATGCCAATGCAAACACAGTCTAGGTAAACGAGTACTGTGTGCATCTACAAAGTGATCTTAACTAGACTGATGTTTCAATATAGAGCAACTTCCCTGGTAGAGACATGGCCTTGGTAACAAAGTAGTGCGCAAACCAGTGTTTTGATCTACTTCCAGATTCTGACAGGTCTGGTTTTTAAAATACAGAGAGATGGGAAAAATGCATGTTCCAAAATATAAAGATCAACCCTTCAGCCAACAGGCCTTCCAGGGACTGCAAGTTAGCTTTTTTATTTCCCCAAGAAGCCCAATAATAAAGGCTAAAATTGTCACCTTTCTGTCCATTCTAGCTCATTTTCAGTGTGTACATGCTAAGCCCACATCTCCCTCCCTTCCTACCTCCCTTCCCAATCCCCAGTTTGCAGCCTATCCATTCACAGTACACAGCAACATGTATTTCCCCGAATTGTTGAAAACTTTCCTACAAAAGCTGAAATGATTCCTAAAATGCAGTGGCAACAGTAAGTGCCCTCCCTAAATCAAAGCAATAGGCACGATTGGCTACTAAACACTGTAAGTCAGTAGCTCAGATTCCTCTTCTGTGTAGGTATATACAGTAGACTGTTGTACTACCACACTCACACAGAGACAGGGTGTAGAATCCGTTTTCTGGCAGTATATAGAAGTCAGGACCAAAGCACTTAAAAAAAAAGTCAAAGCTTTCATTTGGAAAATTGTGAAGAGTTTCCACTTTAATTGTCACACCAAAAATACCATTAACAAGCATAAGGAAAACTATAAAACCCTGTTTGAAAATGACACCTGCATTTGAAAGCTTTCTGGTAGGGAAACATATTTTTGAGGTGATAAAGGCAGCCTACCCCACCATCTCCACATTTTTATATATATAACTTATATATACAACTACATCATTATATATATAACTTATATAGTACAAGTATGTCTTGGACCTCTTCCTCTAAGAGAGGAGGAAAGTCTCAGCTTCATGAGACAGATCTCAGTACCCAGTAGGCCAGACCCTTCGGTTCTTGTGATGCTAAATCTTGCTGTTGAAGCCAGCATAGATCTATGGAGGAGGAAGACTGCAGTAATCGACTCTAAACTATCAATAAAAACAGATATGCAAATGTGCCACAAGAAAGAAAAGTATCCAGGCTTGATCTGGAAATAATCATTCAATAAGGTATAGACTTCATGTGCATGAAAGACAGGCAAGATTTGTCTATGAGTATCTGTAAAATCTTGGGAGGAAATAATTTTTATTTTTCAAGCCAAAACCACAGAGTTAGTCAAGCACTGTTTTTGTTCTTGATATGTGATGACCTTTGCAAGTGCAACTCTATCTGAAATCAGCAAAAAGTACTTCAAAAAGCGTTGGGTTAAAGGTGTCACCTAGAAACACAAAGCTTAAAAACAGTCTTGCTGGATGGAATGTCTAGATGTGCTAAGTCCTGAATGAAATCAAGAATAAAAGCCCTTGATTAACTGGATGCTAGCCAGGTAACATTAAATTACATAAAAATGATCCTCTGTTTTTATTTTTTTTTAATTTAAAAATTTTGACACCTTAAGGGAAAGAGAGACAAAAGGAAACCCTTAAGACAGTTGGATTTTCATCAGTTTTGTCAAAAGCACCAATTATGACCTCTTCTGTACACAGACGAATGAAGTATGTTAAACAGGAGGAACAACCTTTGTGTTAGAAATGGCTTAAAAAGCCCGAATTGTCTAAAGCCAGATAAAATGAAGAAGAAAGCCAGATTCTGTAAATATCAAAAAGGTCATAGATAAAATACACTCAATCACTGCAATTACTCAACTCCATTTTAGCCACAATTTTTGTGATTCTCCTTTTCAGACCTGAAGGTAAAACACTTCCAAAAATCAAGGGACTGGACACTCTTCTTGCATTTAGGTTCTCCTGTCTGATCTGTGTTCGGTCACTGTTTTCCAGGTATTAAATGAAAATGTGCTTTTTTAATAATACAATAAACCCAAATCCAAAATATCTGAGGCAAGTAAGAATGGAAAAGAAAGAAAAGGTTTTATTATTCACTTCTATAGAAATATAAGTTGGCAGAGATTTCAGATACCAGGAATCATTTTGGAGACATAACATGGGTCTTCCAGGCTAGCAAACCTGTTTCCACAATCTTTGGTTGGTCCCTGCAGCTGTGACACATCTCATGATAAGATATTCCTTCAAACTTCTTTACTAAGTTGTTTTTATTTTCGCTGCTGCTTCAAGATTTTCTCCACCTTACTCATGAAGAAAAAAAGGTAATAAGAATGAAACTATCAGAGTTTGAGAAAAGTCCTACAGGCCCATTCTATAGTCTGCTCTGCCAGAGCAAGACTAAAAAGAACTATAACCAGTACACATTTAATTAGAGAGGGCTCTGATATGAATCACAGAAACAAAGAAATATTAATGTTGGAAGGTACCTCTAAGGTTACTTAATCCTACCCTCAACTTAAAAAACAGTTCACTTAAATCAGACTGCTCAGGGCTTTGTCCAAGACACTGAATAAATGTAGGATTTCAGTCCTGGAAATAAGATTTCTTTTGTTCCTTTGCCTAGTCTATCCAGGTGAAATAATTTTCTAGACTGAATACTGGCTCTTGAAAGAGAGAAATTCTGAGATAGTGAAAAATAACTGACTCTCTAAACCTGATAAGCTACTCTTCATAAAATACGCATGATGTTTTAGGTTGCTTTTCTCCTAAGGGAGAAAAAACAGCAGGACAAAGATGCACTGAAGTGTTGCTTTGTTCTAAAAAATGACTAAAATACATGTCTCCATGTTTAATATGAGTTATAACATTTTTCCAGTATAAGGTAAAAAAGTGGTGATTGTGTTAGAAAAGACAGATTTTTGCTTGCCAGGCCTCAACCTGGCAGTATAAAAAATGTATTTCCATAAACATAATTAATAAATTCAGTAAATCTGATTAGAAAAATCTTGATACTGGTACTAAGTGATTTTTTCAACACCGTTACATATAAAGTACATCTTTATCCAGAACATTCTGTCCAGTTTTGGTCTCCTCTTACAAGAAAATTGAGATACTGAAGCAAGTCTAGCAGAGCTCCACTCAGGAGATCAGGAGCCAGAGCACATGACAGTTGAACAGAGGCTGTGGACAGAGTTAAATCTCAGGAAGAGAAAAGGGTAGATCTTATTGCTGTTTACAAACACCCTACAGAGACGGTGGAGAAAATGAAGCCAGACTGTTCATATCAGTGCACAGTAGAAGAGACAGCAAACAAGTTGGAACATGGGAAATTCCTACTTGACATACAAATTTATCTTTCAATTGTTTTGTGGGTTTTTTTTGTTTTTTTTTTTTAACCATTTAAGTGATCAAATACCAGACCAGCTTATACAGAGTAGCTGCAAAATTTCCATCCTTGGTAGCATTGAAAAATTGACTGGACATAGCCCTGAGCACCCAGCTCTAGTTAAAGGCTGGCTGAGATGGCCTCTGGAGCTCCCCTCCCACCTGCATTCTCCTATGATTGATTCTATGCTCTGCTCCAAAATGCTATTTACTCTTCACAAAAAGTGACATTTCTTCCACGCATACTATTTTCTGTGATATTTGTCTCAATTTGTTCTCATTCTACAGCTCCATGGCCTTGGAAATCACATTTGAATTTCTACAGAAAAGCCAGAAATACCTGGCTGCTGTTCTGCTGTTACCAAATCATCTATTTATGGTTTTGCTTCCAAAGAAGACCTGTAGAATGGATTTGCCTTTCCTTATTAGCCTATTTCTACTCATAATTTATAAATAGAGAATATCTATACAACTTCTGCAAGGAGATACAGGCCAGAAAGGATCTAGATATGATGCATTACTCAGTTTTGAAGTGTACAGCTTGAAATATCTGCAAGGAAAGAAAAGCTGTCATTGTAAAAAATGACTCTTGGAATGTGCCTTTCCAAAAATGGAGACTCCTACAAAATACAAGCTAAGGTTTGAAATTTTAGTAATGATTAAGACACTTGCAAATGAGAACCCAAAAACTGAAGTGCAGAGGCAGACAGAGTACACACCACATACATGTGAAAAACACCTCCCTTAAGAAACAGAAAAGATGGTCTCAAAGCCCAAAATTTGGCTTCAGAGTTCAAGACCTGCAACAGAAAGAGCCTGCTAAGTCTAAAGTCTGGTTAAGTCTCTTATCTTCTATGTTTTTATAGCTAGATAGACCCAGGATTTAAATGTAAGCCTGTCTCCAGAACAAAATAATCACATATTTCAGCATGTTTGTTCATTTTCCATGGGGCCCTTGTTCTGCCATATTTAAATGAGACATCAACAAGACCACAAATGAAAATTGGAATAACCGATACTTAAACTGACACTAAATATCTATGATTCGTAGGTTACTGTTAGCATGTCTAAAGGCAGGTGTGTTCAGAGGTCAAGGAAAGATATTTATGCAGGTTCACAGCCAAAGAGTACCATAGCAGTGAGTTTGAGAGCATATACTTTAGGATGGCACAGTAATGAAATTCTAGGATTCCGTTAACCTTTTTCTAATGTAATGCACTGACTGGATGTTCTACAGTTTCACACAGCTGCAGTTTCAGTTTCCATTAGACATCTGGCAGGATGCTCTATATATTCCAATACAAATTGAATTCTAGGGCCCCCAGTCCCAGTAGAACAGCTGGATGGAATGTCACAAAAAGTATGCAAACACAGAAGCAGAGAAATACAAGATTGTCAGCAAGCAGTGCTCCACATACGTATATATAGCATGGTTAGTTTTAAATCTTTGGAATAAACTCAATTTTCTTTCTTTCTCTTCTACCTTTCTTTTCCTCACACTCACTTTTGCTCTCTCTCTCCCTCTTATCATGAATGTTACATCATTGCCCCTAAAAGATGGTTAGATTTTGGTCCATATTTCATGCCATATGGGCCAGACATTGTATCTCCCTCCTGTTCCAAAAGCATTCAGTTGATAATCACAGTGCTTTGCAAAAACTGTGAGGAAAACCAGCATCTTTTGAGTAAATTCAATCTCTCACTGGAACCAAAGGTTGCAAAGTTCTGAGAATTCAAGTGCCAAGGATCCCGATGACAGCTCTTAAACATCTATTGAGTTTCTTGTTTGTTCTTTTTCCCCCAAGAGTACAGTTTCAACTCCTAAAACATGAATTAAGGGAAATATTTAACAGTCAACGTGTCAAAACAGTCAAAGAAGGGCAGCTGGCTAATACAGTATAAAAGAGCAGCAACCATTTGTGGACCATACACCATTTTGTTTAATTTCTAGACACATCCTTTAGAGATGGTCCCAGAATATATGAAGTATACAATCTAATGACCACACGCCTGCTTGCACAAGCCATCTTTATGGTCCTAAATGCAGTCTTTGGAGTCAGGGCCAGCGCCAAATAGTTTCAAACATGAGTTATTGTAGGATGCTTTTTTGTTTGTTTTGTAACAAAGACTTTAATCCATGTTGTGCCCAACAAAATCAAATTGTCAATAGGACTGAAGGGTGAGCATGAGACCTTCATTTTCCCTTGACGGTTCACACAGTAGGCCAAAATGGGCCTCAAGGTTATTAGCACTTTAGATCAATCATTCAGAAAAGTCTCATTGCTGTACATAAAACCCAACCCTTCCTTCACTGTTTACACTGTTACACATAGGAGCAGGCTACAACATCAACTTGATGAATGGAAAAGGAGGACTTTCATAATTTCTTTAAAAGGCTAATGCTGAATGAAGCCATTGTACTTGGAAGAAGTTCTCTATTTCCCACTCAGTGACTGGAGCAGGATTTTTGGCTTGTTTGTTTGAGAGTGTATAAGATGTTCGAAAAACATCAAGTTTAAATTAAAATGTCTGCAGGTGCTCTTTACCCAAAAGTCTAATGTTTTAAATTGGTTATTAGAAGAACTGCAAGAAAAAGCAACATAATTCATCACTAAGTCACTGTGAGTTGTGGCTAACATGCTCACATGATGTGGAAGGAATCCTGTAGTCATGCCTGTGTGGCCAGTCCCAGACCGATATCCAGGTGAAGACAAGGAGTTCTGAAGATCACTTGTTCGTAGAGAAAAGAGAAAAAAAGGTTTAAGCTTCCAAATAAGCTTTTAAAGTTTTCATTCAACAAATAAACAAGAAGTTCTAGCTATGGCGATAAGGTGAGGCCTACAGAGATATTAGATGCTGTTTCTCAGAGTTTATCCCTTGGCCACTTAGCCATCATGGCAGCAGCTTCCAGAGTCCCTAGTGCATATGTTGTGCAATAGCCAAAAACAAAAATTAAAACAAAAACAAGAACAAAAAAAAATATAGTCCTCCGTGAAGTCTACATAAACTCAGGCCAAAGAGAGGATATTTGTGTAACAAGTGTCACTCCACAGTCTACTGCCATTAAGGCTACTGGTATTGACTTAAATGGATCTCAATAGCTCAGTTCTAGGAAGAAGAACAAAAACCAAGACAGGTCAAAGTGTCTGTGAAAAGTCTGATGCATTGAACATTAGGAATCCTCAGACAAAGAACAAATGAACCACGAGGTTAATTTGGCTACCAAACTGGGATTTGGTTTTCTAGGTCATTGTTTTCCCCCCATCTATTTAAAAAGAAAGTTAGTGCTACAAATATGCAACTTCAAGACGACATTTTCTCCTATTGAGTTGCACTGAGAAGCAAGTTAAATAAGCCCCTCCTACTGCCGTCCACCTGCAGGAAAGCCTCCTCCATTTCCTTTATTTTCCATCGGCAAAACCAGGAAACAAATCCAAGAGAGATGAAGTACTGTAAGCAATTGTTCCTTCTCATTGACTTCACCTCTACAGCATTTCCTCGCCTGCATCTTCTCCCATCCAGCTGGGGCAAGGCATAAAGAACCAACGGATGTACTGAAGTATAACTGGGTGTATGACAGTGTGAGTGTGTGGTCTCTGTACAGAGGGTTACATGTGATAGAGTTCTCTTCTCCTGCAAGGCAGCACATTATAACTTGAGTTCCACTTTCATCTCACAACACTTAGCTCAGATGTCATCCATGCCAAGCTGACAGATACTTAGATGTGCCTCTTCATGTGGAGGGCAAGGTGATCAGACCTGGAAAAACACCTGCAAAATAAACCAAATCTCAAATGAAATAAAGATTTGGGGAAAAGAAAAAACAAATGAAAAACTGGTTCCTGCTCCTCCCTCTTTTTGTACAAGAGGAAATATTTATTCTGGTTTAGAACTGTTCTTTAGATTATCACCAAACTCTGTGTGATTCATCACAATGACCACAGATGGCCAACTATGCTGCTGAAAGCTAAATAGACTATTCTCCTCTTTTCACTGTTTCTTTCCCTCCTCCTCTTTCACTGCGTGAAATACCAGGGAAGTGTGCTCATATATGCACCTGTAGGATAAAATCAAATATTTAGTGTCAGTGCACGTGCATACGGTAAAAAATAAAACAAGTCAGTTTTACTTTGTAAAACTAGTTTAAAAAAAAAAACCACTACCTTTAACAAACAGCAACATAAGTTTTGAAAACTAAATTCCCATTTTTAACTCCAAATTGGAAAGAAAATGGTCCAAAGCTCACGGGCTGGAAATCATTCAGGCTATGTATTTTTCCTTTTCTCCCTAGGGAATCTCAGTGGTAGTATGTGGATGCTATCCCCCTGAATTATGTTGAGATAAGACAAGTTATTATTAAACCCACCCTGTAAATGTGAAAATTGAGACACAGAAAGGCAAGGAAATTGTAAATCACGCAAGAATTAAACATCCAGGACTTCCACTTTCAGTTTCTGTTCTGCATCCACAAAGCTATTGTTCCTCCATCTCCTCATGCAAAATAACATTCTGAACATGTAAAAGGATTCTGATGAGACAGTCTTATAACTGCAACCCTAGAGAACTAGTTGCCTTTTAGGGCTGGCCTAAACATGCAGATAATTAAGGATAAGGTAAGGCATGAATTTGAAATGAAGCATCTATTCTTGATTAACTCCCTCTCTAAAGGCTTATGACTGCCTTCTTTTGAAATTACTTAATCCACTTGGGAAAGCGAGTTAACATACTCAGAATAAAACACTCTCCCAGAGAAGAGCAACCCCAATAAGAGTTAATCAGGAATTACTATTCTAAAGCAACTGCCTTGTAGAAGACATGCTGCAGGGAACTCACAGCAGCAGAAACTACAGCCCAAAATCTGGGACTTCACACCACTAACATATTCTCATTGACTAGGGGTTCTTAAGTGGACAGGTGCTTTTCTTCTCTGTCAATACAAATTCCATTTTATCAAGGCTGACAGGAAGCAAGAATATTTTTCTAACTCCACATCCATTAGAAATGAGATTAAATGCACCAACCCAGTTCATACTCACTATCACAATAAAGGTACGTATAGCAACAGGGAACAAACTGCTGGACAAGCAGACAGTGGTTCTGGCTCCTACCCTAAAGCCTTGAGATGGAGCTCAACTGTCAGGCAGTACAGAGACATCCTAAGAAACCAAACTTCTACACATTTCAAGTTGAACACTCAGAAATGGGAGGTTTCCAAGTTCCCTGCAAATCTTGGCTTGCTTTTCTTTCTACCCTAAACCATAAGACACTGGCACATTTATTTTTAGTAAGAGCAAGAAACATTCATTATAAATATCACACAAAAAGACACATATCTGTGGCTTTTGAATAAATTGTTTTTGTAGGCTCTGAGGACACAATGAGAAGCTACCTCCAGAACTGATTTGCCTGCAATGTATTTTCATTGCCCCACAAATCTAGAATATAGAAGTATAAAATACCAGTTAGGAGAATATACTAATGGCTTACTGTGAGAATCTGCATAGCTTACAAATGGGCAGTAAGTCTATTTTTTAGAAGGTAGTAGCTGAGTATTCTTTATTTTTCAGAAAGAATGTAAAATAATAAATTCAACTACACAGTCAAAGAAAATAAAACAAAAGTGACCTCAATCTAAAGGCAAACACCCAGACAATAAAAATCCTAACTGGAAAAAAGGCTAAGAAATTGAAGAACTGATGAAAATGAAGAGGTTTTAAATAGTTAGGGAATCTGCAGTCTGTTTCCATCTATACAAAGATGAGTCACCAAAAGGTAAACTCTTAAGACAAAGAAACCTCGTAAGACGACAGCTTTCACAAGAAAAGCTCGATTCTCATCATGTGAGGACAAGAACAGCTCTGCTCAAGCCAGCTGTTCTCTACTGATTTCTATCAGCTTATGACAGGGTTAGTACCTTTCTGTAACAGAAAGGCAAAAAATAAAGACTTCAGAATGGGATAGTGGCTCCTGCATGAAGTGCAGAGGCACAGATGAGGGTCTGACAACAGGCACTTGGCTTTCAGCACAGCAGGCTCAGCACAGCTAGAATTTTCTAGCCTCAGGGTGCCAAAATACACCCATGGACCAACATTTCTCTCATCAGTCTAAACACAGAAAGCAGCATGCTCTAGCTGCAAGGGCTGCCAAAACAAAACAACAGCTCGAGTGGCTGCCAAAAAGACATGCACCAGCTGGCACTTTAGCCTAGGACTAGTCATAAGACCACTACCCAAGAATGGCTTTTCTTCTCCAATTGTATTAGAAATGCATCCCAGGAAAAAGCATGCAGAGTCACAACACAGTAAAATCTGTTAAAAATATGAATTTAAGCCACTGTTTCACTTCAATTACCATAGTATTAGTATCCAGGGTATTTTTCAGCTCTACAATGTTTTTACAGATACTAAAATGGCATAATTTTTTGCTAATTCACTGCTAATAAAATGGTACAACATGAATTCTTCACATTCTCCTGCTGACTAATTTGGTTAGCTCTATTTATTGGTAAGACTGGTAGATTTTCAACAGTAAAGCAGTCTCTATCAAATGCTGCAGCTACAGTACGTCAAGAGAAAAAAAAACACGAAAACCCACTACTGATCAGTAGGCACATTTTCTCTCTGCTGGAACAAGAGCAGACAAACAGGCAAGATAAACTCTTTTTCCCACATATTAAGCAGCAGCAGCTCGTTAGTCCCTCATCCTGTCTGCAAGACAAGACCTCGATCCACAACTCTGGCTCTGCACCTCTTCCAATTCTAGACCAGCACTGTGTGCTGTACATGGGCCCATCATCCCCCCCAATGGAGCTCTTCGTAGGAAGGACAGTTTATGCTAGGTTAAGATATCCTAATTTTGAAAGTCATACAGTGATGCATAATGCAAAAGTTTCCCGCTCTGAAACACAATTGGCTCCCTTCTCTTTTTGCTCCATCTCCCTAGCAACACAGTACTGCTCAGCACTGAAGTCTCTGCAAGAGAAAGAGGGAAGGTAACAATGATGAGAAGAGAACGTACTGTTCAGCCATCTTTCTTATCAGCTGTGGCTTCCCTGCTGTGGGATTTGTGCATTCCAGCTAAGCACACTCTTAACTTGCTGTCCAAGAGGACATAGGCATAACAAGCAAGTGCCACTACCCTGTCATCCTCTTTCCCTTGGAGCACCGAAGCCTCGCACTGTGTGAGGAACATAACCTGCCTGTGTTTCTGAAGAGCATAACTCCTGGAGGATGATAATAAACAGCATACCCCTTGTGTCTGGAAGACACGAGGGACTTGCACACTGCCTTCTGCACCACCTCAGCTGATTCTCCTTTCCCCTCGCTGCCACCAACCACATATCATTCGCAGCACATATGGTGATACTTAAACCAATGGTGGCCTGGCAGCTGTAACTAACAATGAGATCTGTGGGGTGCATAGTGCTTGCGCTGGGACAGCAGTGGAACACAATCACATCATCTAATCTCTTTAGCTTTAGAATTGTCTTGTACAGATATTATATGAATATTCCCATGATGGTGGCCAGGAGGTAATAGATATAACTGCTTCTGAAAATAGACTGGAAGGGAATTGCAAGCAAAATTGTACAGTTCTCCCCTTTACTATTTCAATCACCGCTTTTATGCTCTGATTGCCTAGGTACGGCCTTCTCTTCCAAACAATTCTGTGATGTCAGCATTGCAAAAAGTAACTCCAAGAAGCTCCTTAAGATTTATCAAGCCAGGATGTTTGTGGGAGTGATCGCACCTTGTGTCAATAAAGGTGGGTGCAGAAGAGGGCAGCAGTTCAGATATAAAGAAACTGTTCTCCATCTGGGATCCCTGGCTAAGGAGGAAGCTTTTTCAACATTAGACATCTGTCTAAATGGCTAGGAACAGACTTACGCACATTTGAGTGCTCACTTGAAGTGACATCTGCAATAGACAGTACCAGACAGATCAATGAATGGGAAAAGAAGGAAAAGTAGTGGCATGGCAGAGTGGCCCAAAAGAACAGGCAGCACCATTCTGTGAGCTTGTAACAACTGACTGGGAAAGTAAAGCTGAGCCTGACTCCTCCTGCCACACATAAATAGCATGTGCATGGAGTTTAATGCACAAACTTGCAGTCTTAGCTTCCTAATGAATCCTGTTTTCTTTTATCCGCAGATCCAGTGGAAGTGGAAGACGTATTAGACAGTTGCAGAAATGAATCTCTTCACTGTAGCAACTGAATTGGCTGCCAACAACAAAAACCCAGATAGTAAGGGGAAAATATGAAAAGAGAGGAGAATGGATACTGAAAGATGGACTGATGGAGACTGAGGAGTTGTAACTACTATTTCTTTAAATCTCCACTAAAGATTCTAACACAGAAACCCTGCAGTTTTGCACTGCTTGTGTTAGTGTGCTTTTGGGGCTGGGGTGGTTACTCTTCTTCAGAGAAAAAAAGAGAAAGGAAATGCCTTACAATAAAAACAGAACATAAACGTCTTCCTTCACATAGGTGCTTATACAAAAGCATGACTTGAGAGGTCCCTATTTGGTTTATCCTGTCCCCCATTCTCAGAAAACAAAGGATAATCCAAGGCTAAGACAAAAACTAATCCAAGAGGAAGCTCTCCATGGCAGAAGGGGGGCAGGAAGAAGGGAGACAAGGGAAGAAGAGTGCTCAAGGAGATGAAGCACTTGGAAAGGCAGGATGTGAAAATGATCAAATTTCCTTCCCATAAAAGGATGGGGCCCCTTGTTTATGTCCCATACATCCTCTCTCCATGCATGTTCTCTGCTGGTCCAGTGTACCCAGAGGCTTCCTAGAGCCTTTATTGTATTACAGAATATTTTCTTATCAGAGCAGAGAACCTTAATGCTGCATTAAAAAGACAGGTAATTTTCTTAAGTCTCTTTTAAAATATATATACAAATAGGATTAGCCAGATAACGTGTTCAGATGCAAGCACATTATTTGATTGCTCTACACTGCATCCAGGTTTTACCCAGGGCACTGCCAGCCTCCAGCTGGGGGGTACGAGGAGAAGTGCTCATTGTTCGATCCTGTCAGTGCTGTCAAGAGTCATTACAGTGGTAATTGCTTTTGCTCCACCCTAATTTCTTATCATCTGGGACTGGGGATAGGGAGGAGGGTTTTCTTTTGGTTTTGTTTCTGCATTCAAAGAACCAGCTTTCAAAAGCACTCAGCACCAAGCAAGGACAATTCAATTTTTCAGAGGAGCTTTTTCAATCAGCAGCTGAAGTGGCAAGGACAGCAAAAAGCAGGCTGCAAGCAGCAGCTTCCATTGCTCTCAATGGGAATTGCTGGGTGCCCAGCTCTCCAGGCAAACCTGGTCCCTCATTTTTGAGTGCCCAGAGGAGGACTGTTACATATTAAGCTCTTCGAGAAGCCTGGCTCTAGGCACCTATCAGGCTTTTAAATCTGCGCCCACTCAAAACAAAGTGGCAGAGTATTTCCCACATCAAACAGACATCAAGGTTGAAATTTAGAACTGGAGAAAAGATTCACTCAGCAGCAGGAATATGCATCAATCACTGATCCTACACAAAACAATCTCATGAACTTGAATTGTCAGATGTGCCTGAATTAGTCCTTCTTAGTGCTTTTGAAAATGAAGCACCCTGCCAACATACAGGAAGCCAGCAAAGGTGCTTGGGGTAGCCCTTGAAGGAGGCAGGTGGGAAAGGAGGTCTGCTTTTCAAGGGACACTGACCTAACAAGATGGAAAGCTGTGGAGATACTCTGTGGACCTACTTTGATAACAGCAGGTCTGGGGCCTTCTGGACTTCCACTCTAATTATGGAGTATTTAAATAAGCTGCCCTGTGGATCGAGTCCTGTGCCCACAACAAACATGGACAGGCTCCGGTGAGACTTGTATCCCACCCCTTCTTTGTGCCCTCCTTTGGCTGAGGGATTAAGGAAGGGGGACACAAGACATGGAGGGGCCAGGCTGCCAAGGGTCTGGTAGCTCCACACCACCCACAAAGACCACATTTCGCTTAAACACCACATTAGGAGGCTGCATTACCTGTCACAATGGTTGCATTTAAAGGGCTTTGCACCCGTGTGCTTTCTGTAATGCCTCGTGAGCTCGTCGCTCCGTGCAAAACGCCACTCGCACCCTTCCCACGAGCACTTGTAAGGCTTCTCACCTGCAGAGGGGAGGAGAGAAGAGTCAGCGCAGCAGCATTACTGAGCACTCCACTTGCAAGTCCGGTGTCTTCCACCTCACCCATTCCCCACCCAGGCAGGTTAGTGCACAGTCACACTATCAAGGCCACAGTGCAACTCAAACAACTTAAGATTTATGACACATTGTACTGTGGATGGATCCAGCTTCAGCTTCTGTAGATCTGTTAAAGTTCTCCCTACACCTTGTTTCCCATTTCTAACAAAGCTTGTTAACTGCTCTTGAGCGAAACCCAGCACATCTCCAGAATCCTCTGCCCTGTGCTGCTAGAGCCTCATTTTCAGTCAACCCTGCAGCTTGCTCAGCTCTTGTTGGCTAATTGCTCTGGTACTTGTGATGGCTGTACCAATATGTAACCACACCACAGGTGGGAGCAAGTCACATCTCTCCCTCCACACCCTCCAACAGCAACCACGACCACTGCACCACATGCTTTTCCCAAGCTGCAGCTCACTCCTTGCATGGCCAAACTGATATCCGCTCCCCCAAGTTTCCATGCCCACAGTCTTCTAAAGCTGCACCTTCTCTAGTTGCTCCCAACAACTTTTAGGGCTGTTTTTCTGCCCCCAGATATCAATCATATCACTGAAGCAGTGAAATGGTGCAGCAGTAACTCAGAAGCGAAACTGGTCCGCTGTGTTCACATTTAGCTATCTTCTAACAAAGAGCAGCCTCTGTGAATCAGGCTGCCATGGTGTAGCATCCTTCAGACCTCTTGATGGAGGCTTCCCAGGACTGGTACCCCCACCCCTCTTTTCTCATTCAGTGCACATGTATTCATATGCATGCAAATTTATCATCACCCCCACGAGGAAATGCTCCATTGCTTCTCTTTCTGTAGGAATTCAACATCACTGATCCCCACACAGTCAACACAGTGCAGATGCATTAGGAGAAGAGGGAGTTGAGATAAAATGTTGATAAGAAATCACTTGTACTACCAAGATCCTAAGCCAGCAACTATAAACAGAGAAGGGATTATTACTTATTTATTTATTCTTAAAATTGCTAAGAAGGCAATCTTAAAAAAAAAAAAAAACACACACCACTGACCAATCTGAAGTTGCAATCCATATGACCTCTCTTCTTGGCCACAGCAGGCAAATGTCTCAGTGCAGAGACTCAGATTTCTATATTTAGTGTGTTTATTCAGCAGGTAAAGAAGTGAGATCTCATTATGGTAGACCTATGTATTTCAAGGTGACAAATTGGAAAGGCCAAATGAAAAAGAAAAGCAAAGAGGGCAAGAGAATTGTATCAAAATACTTAATAATAAAAATATGCTCTGCTGTGAGTGAGTCTGCAGACTTATTGCTAAGGCAGTTCTGTTTTACAATGGTCACCCACCCCAGACAGCAGAGTGGGCTGAGGTGTTAACTGGAGCTGAGCCACTTTACCAGACATTAAGCACAGTAACTCAATTAAAGGATTCACTGGGTAAAGCAACGAAGAGGGAGCAGCAGCCAGTGAGACTTCATCAGAATATCAAGTTGTCCCCTCAGCTCTGAAACAAGGAAGGCCAGCCTGGATGTCTCTATGGTATGCCACAACCCACCATAGGGACAAACCCAACAAGACAGTAATAACCCCATCTCACACTTACACTGCGCCTGACCGGTCAGCTCTGCAGACTTGTATGGTTTTTGGTGTGATTTTTTTCTTTAAAAAAAAAAAAAAAAAGATTTTTTTCAGAGGAAAAAAAGGCAAAAAACTTCTTGCTAGTGAGCCAAGTGCTGGTGTCCTGTTTCTGTGCTGGTTACTCAACTGCAATTCAAGTACTGTTACCAGCACTGCCCCAGACACCAGGGCTGCAGTTGTTCAGCATTGTCTCAACAGCCCATGACACCCTACTAAGCACATTGTATTTCATCTCCCCTTGTCAGAGAAGAAGGATTCCCCCTGCTCTGGTCACGTCTGAGATGGTGCAGCAGTTCCATGTGAACAGTTTGCGTGCATTATTTTAAAAAGCTGTCAGTAAATGAACCTCAGTGATAATTCAGCCTGTTTGGTTCTCTGATGCTCTCTAGTGCCTGCCTTAGAGAGCAGAGAGCAAGGCAGACAAAGCACTTCACATCACATTTGCTACATGTGCTATAAAGGTGAAAGATGAGTGCTCAGCCAAATCTGGCAGGTAGGGCCAGTCTGAGAGCAGAAGGGTGAAGGCAAAACATCACATGGTTCTGTGAAACAAGGGCTATTAGGAGTGAAGCTGGGTTTGGCTTGTTAACATTTGTCAAAAGCTTTGAAAATGTACAGTGCTATATATAGGTTAAGAGACAGAAATGCCAAGCATGATTACTGGTAAACCCACAGGATGCCACGTATCTCCACTGCTTGCTCCGGGGGCTCCTCTCTCAAGCGATCTCGATTTGCAGCTTACACTGCCCTGAGCTGAGTTCTGTTCTCAGATGCTTATCCTCTGTAACTGAAGCCACACAAAATGTCAGTGCACCTCCTTGTGCTCTCCGACAGCAGAGCACACTGGTGTGCAGAGCTCTGCGTGGCACACAGTGAAGGCAAAGGAGCACGGTGACCTTTAAAGCCCTGTAGACTCCCTGACGCAGAGACCTCAGGGAGAGCAGCATCCTGCTCTCCTTCAGCCACTTCATAGTCCGAGCGGGCATGGAGAGAGAGATCTCTGTATCTCTGCATGGGAGGACAAAGAACAAACTGCATCTTTAATGGCTGCTTTCATCTTACTCGCAGATGAAATGAGAGCTATCTTGCCAAGGTGTACGTCTGCAGGAAGCGTGGGCGTCAGAGGGGGAGAGGCCCCTCCTACCTCACTACTGGAAAGGCAGGCAGGAGAAATGGGAACGCTCATTTCCACGTGCCGGGCTGCTCTGCTGCTTTTGTAGAGGAATAACAAGAATAAAAAGATAGATGGCAAAATTCTCCTCTGCTGAAAGCAACGGCAAAACTCCCACTCACTTCTACAGAATGAGGATCTCCCCTTTTTTAGCAAGTTAATTATGAGCTTTAAAATCCAATTAAAAATGTGCCATATGACAATTTTCAGGGTCTAATTCCTCAAAATTAATAACTCAACTTAAACCTCATGTATGAAAGGCATTCTCAGGAAGGAGCTCTGCTCCTTAAGTCATCCTTGTTCAACACAAGGATCTGTGCAGTGCTTACACAAATCCTCAAATCTACAGTGCACACCCAAAAAGAAGCCAATTCCCAGCTGTGTGCCTGCAGAAAGCTCCACCACAGAGCTGGCGGAGCTTCTACGTGTCCACAAGCACACCTGGGAAGGGCAGGCAGCCAGCAATGCAGATTTTAAGCATCAGATTATGCAGGTAACACAAAGTCCCACTTGTGTATGAAAAAATTCTAGAACTGAGCTAGGGTGGTGGAGCAACCCATGGAACACACTTTAGCAGGGGAGTTGGACTTGATGAATCCCAGAGGTCCTTCCCAACCCCTACAACTCTGTGGTTCTGCAATACTGTACTTCTGTGTCTGCTCTCTGGGCTGAACCACAGTGCTGGGAAGGAGGGCAGCAAAGACCAGCCCTAAAAGTGGAGTTTCAAACTGCAGAAAATACCCACATGAACACATCCTTAGTGGCATCGTGATAGCGCTTTAACAGCAGCTTGCAGATGCCTATGAACACATAGAGCACTATGTGGAAAACTACTGATCAGTCCTTAGGCCATTTCTAGCCTTTCATCTTCCCAGAGCATTTATTTGTACCCTGAGATTGGTCTGCCTGGGGAAGAAGCCCTCTATTCCACTTCTGTTTATGGCACATTTGTACAATCAGTAGGTGTACAACTGTACAATCAATAGGTGTACAGAGGTTAAGCTAAGTAAGATTATCACAGTGGAAAGATAATCAAAAAAAAATGAAAATGCTCACCAGTGCTGTAGGCTCACAGTAAACTCCACAATCTCCAGAAAAAGATCCTTCCCCAATGGGGGTCAGCCCTTAAATAGGGTCTAGGAGAGCAGCCAGGCTCCACCCTTCCGGTCACACAGCTGAATTGCCTTCACCTGTGCTCCCATGGCTGACCCAGTGCTTGTCTCAGGTGGTCAATCAGAGGTTCAGGCCGTGATCAGCAGTTCCCATACACACATTACACAACCTCCTTTTAGAAACTACACCCAAAGCACGCTGTTACAATCTGGCCCTCCATCCCTTTTCATTTCATCTAGCTTAGTCCAGTCTGGAACAAAGAACTTTGTAAATTTATAAGAAGCATGCAGTGATAAAAGGTAAAATTTAGAGAGAGTTATTGCACCCCTCAAATTAGGTCACTTTGCTGACTAAGACAGATGCACAGCTAAATATTAAGCACCTACACATGACTGGAATAGGTTTCTCTTGAAAGCCAGAAGTTTATAATCTGAAAAATGGAAGAGTGAAACATGCAGTCCCAGTATCACCACCACAGTAAACACACAGCAGATCCCCAGGCAAATGCTGTTGGTTGACCTGGGTTGGTTTTGCCATGAAGACACTGTGCCAGTCGTTTCCCATTTTGGTGAGCTTAATCTCATGCCATTTTACATCCTGAAAACCATCTGAAATAGTCACCTATTGCTCCTTTTGAAACTAATGGAGAGACAAAGGAATGTGTGGAGCATGACACATCAGAGAGTAGTAGGACTAAAGCTGGAAGTAAATGCCTCTCCTCTGGTTGTATGGGGCAGCTAGGCGAGCAGCCCCAGCTGTATCTTTGCTCTCTAGGCACAAAATGCAGACCAGCAGGTTTTCTTTCCCATATACTCAGCTTGCATACCCTATATAACCCCAGCAACAATTATTCTGTCACAAAACAAGGTAGTGGGGATGTTGTCTCTTCTCAAAATACAGAGTCCTGTCCTTGCCATGTACATCCCCTAGAAATTATCTGGGCACATTTCCTTTGTACAAAGAGTAAGAAGTGTGTTCACTATAGACATCTCAGAGGAGTGTTTTCAAGAGAGATCAATTAGTAGAAACGTTATGTACAT